CGGACCGCGAGATCATGACCTGAGCTGAAGTCGGACGCTTAACCAACCGAGCCACCCAGGCGCCCCATGACTGAACTTTTAAATATATATTTAATATATATTAAACTTTTAAAAATATATTTATAATAGTTTTTAAAAGGGGAGAGTCAGTTAGTTAGTTTGTTGATTTTTAGTGAGCTCTATGCCCAACGTGGGGCTTGAACCCATGACCACAACATCAAGAATATCACGTTCCTCCCACTGAACCATCCAGGCACTCCAAAAGGGGGGTTAAAGAGAACATAGAATTGATGATCTTACTACATGGCAAAAATCATGAAGGCAGCACTAGAAGTTTGGGAAACACTGGGCCAGAAGATTTTTAAAGTCCCCTCAATCCTGACAGTGAGTGCTGGCACCCTGGAGTGCCAGGCTGCAGATTCCCCCTGTGCCGTTCCTACTGGCCTGCAGCTTGCAGGTGCCTCTCAAACTTCATCTCCTCCCGGGAGCTTCTTCCAATCCAGCAGCTTGACCAAAAGTCACACCCTCTACTCTGCTCCCAGGTCATGTTCTTCAGCCATGGATTACAGCATTTATTACCCAGTACTATAAGCCTCTCTTTATATTCATCTCCCCTCTAGAACATGACCTCCTTAAGACAGAAATTACGTCTTGGCATTTTATCCCTCAGACACCTATTAGGATGTTCTGCGTCTGGTACAAAATAGGTGCTTGACGAATGTATGCTGAATAAATGAACCAATGCTTTGGCCCTTTTTTCACTGAATGGAAAGAGAAAAGACAGTGGGAGAAGAGCATTACCAGAGACTCATTTGCCATAATTCCAATTCAACATTTCTTAGCATTTAAACTGGATGATAGAACACTCACCTTTCTAACCTCAACTTCAAACACTAAATTAAATAAGAATTTTTAAATCTGTTTCAAAGAGGCCTTGCCACATGAAATGTTTGGAAAAGCAAACTTTTCTTTAAGAAACTTACCAGGATCGAGAAGAGACCAGTCACACCAGCACAAGGCCAATTACAAAGGTACTTTTGACTTCTGTAACATAGACCAGAACTGGGTAAATATCCAAGAACACTCCTTCCATGTCCTTCTAGACGTAGGACATAATATCAGAAAACACTAGATTCCAGTGGTGAGATACAGCCCAAATGGAGATCTCACTATTGTCATAAATGACATACAAATATCAAAGTGTTTTATCAGACAGAAATTGTACACATATAAAGGGGTACTTTCAAACATGAAAAAACAGTAAGGAAGGCCGTCTTTAAAATTCAGAGGTTGCCCCCTGTGAAATATGGAGCTTTCTCAATTATGTTCTTCTTGTCACTTTAGGCCTTGGACCCATACCTGATAAGCAGATAGAGTGTAAGAAGCTTTAACCCAAATAGGAAATGATATTCCTTTGACTGGAATAAATCTGTCAACAAAAAGGTACAGGCTGACTGCACTCTGCAGGTTCTTATTAAAAATATACATTAAAGTCCAGCATAGTGCCTTTACTCCCCACATCTGTTTGCTATTTTATCTCCATTATTAATACTGTAATGCAGGGTCCCCATTCAGGCAAGATTAATTCACTGTTCCCAAAGCCTTCTGCTGACATTGCAATGGATCTGTTTGGAAGGCTGTAAAGGCAGGCCCAGGCATTGCTCTCGACATGTGATCAGTAAGGAGATGAGGCCTGCGCCCCCAGCTTAACAAGAGAGAAGAGGAAGTTGGATTGGACCTGTGATCATAGAGGTAAAGTAGCCCAGTGGTTAAGAGCTCAGACTTTGGACTCAAGACAGCTCAAGTGAATCCTAGTTCTTTTATTTTAGGCAATTCATTTACCCCTAAGTGACTCCGTTTTCTCATCTATAAAACGGAGATAACAAAAGAACCTGGTAAGATTGTAAAGTATTTGATGCAATGATAAAGAAGCTAGTAAGAACTACAAAAAGAAAAAAAAAAGATTATTATCATCTTCTTCATCATGATACCACCAGAACCAGCCTCTTATGCTGAGGCAGGGCAGGAAGAACCCTCCTAGTCTTTCAACCTACACATGCTAAGTAGTCATCACCAAGATACCAAAATGATAGTATAGGAGGCAAAAGGGGACAAGAAACAAAAAAACAGGAGAGGCTATATAATAGAAATAGAATCAGCTCTTGATTAACCATGCTAACAAGGGGGAAGAGAAGGAAAACACTTATTTATTTGTTTGTTTTGAGAGAGAGGGCACAAGTGAGCGAGGGACAGTGAGAGAGGGAGGGAGAGAGAAACCAATGAGGGGCAAAGAGAGAGAGAAGGAGAGAGAAGCAGGGCTCACTGAAAGTGGGGCTCAAGCTTGCCCGAAGCAGAGAAGCAGGGCTTGTGCTCACCAGATGCGGGGCTCAATTCATGAACCGTGAGATCATGACCTGAGCCAAAGTCAGATGCTTAGCTGATGAGCCACCCAGGTGCCCAAGAAAACATTTGAATTGAAGAAAAGAATCCTTCCCATGAAAAAGTGTAGATGGAAACAAAAAAAAAATTTGTTTTAATTATAGACAGTAACTTACTGGAGTACATGATATAATTGTTTAAGAAACGGGAGAGCATAGTCATTAAGAATATGAACTCTGGATGGGTGCCGGGGTGGCACAGTCGGTTAAGCATCCGACTCGTGATCTCGGCTCAGGTCATGATCTCATGGTTCATGGGTTCAAGCCCCATATTAGGCTCTGAGCTGATGGCACAGAGCCTGTTTGGGATTCTGTCTCTCCTCTCTGACCCTTCCCTGCTTGTGCGCTCTCTCCCTCGAAATAAACTTAAAAAAAAATTTTTTTTTTTTAAAAAGAGTATGAACTCTGGAGCCAAAATGCCTACATTAGAATCCTGCTCCACCACTTCTAAGCTGCGTGACCTTAAGCAAGTTATAGATTCTCTTTGTGTCTCAGTTTCCTGATCCATAAAATGGGGCATATATGAGCATCTACCAGTATTACATGACTGTGTTGAAAATAAAATTAGTTTATATATACAAAGTGAAGAGAAGAATACCTGGCTCATCATCAATACTTAATAAATGTTAGCTTTCATTATTGTTAATGTAACTTATTTTTTTAGCGGACTTAACACTAAGTTGATGTTTAACTTAATATTAAAAATTGTTTAAATTCAGTGGTTACAGAGGGAAGTGGGGGAGGAAGGTATGTACAGAAATGTACAGGGCAGAAATGTACAGGGCAGAAAATGGGACTAGACTAGACTAGAATAAAAAATGTACTATAAATAATCTGAGTACAGACAACCACAGGTTAAAAGGAAGTAGACAAGGAGTAGATAAGATCAACAGAAGGATAGAGATGGATATATTCATAATAAAGCAAGTAGGTAAAATGTTAATTGCAGAATCTAGGTGGTGGGTATTTGTGTGTTCACTATAAAATTCTTTCAACTTTGCTTTATGTTTAAAATTCTTCATAATAAGCTAGAGGGAATAAAACAAGTAGACCTAAAAGCATCAACTCAAATTCTGGGTCATAGCTATGCTGACTGTCCTCTGGGCTCAAACACCAAAGCAAGCTTAGAAAAATCTGATGGTTTTGGAACACTTGCTCATCATCAACACTGTCCCACACTAGATGAACAGAACTCGGGTGCTGACGTGGATCACTCTGGCATATGCAGATACAAGCAGAGGGCAGAAACCCAGAGGTTCCACCTGAAAAATGCCAACTTCACAGAACTATGACATTATCATCCCTGCTGAGGGAAACCCCAGAAATAAGGCTCAAGGCTAAGAAACAGACAGGTGGAGGGTGGGCGGCTGTCACACACTCACTCATGGACTCTGCTGTCACCATAGAGATCGCTCAGGCCAAAGCTGATGTAGTGCCAGTGTTCAGGGATATTGGCAGAAGGGCTCCCCACGTTCCTGTACATGCTAACATAGTCCAAGGGGTCTGGGCCGCCCAACCTGCAAAACACAAAACACAAGGGAGTCAGTGTGAGTCTGAAAGCAGACAATGTGAAGCTAAGCAGTTATGCCTTACAAATCTAAAGACCCCATCGTGGAGGAACCTGGGGTGAAAGGTAACTAAAAGGAGGCCATACCTCTCTGGGATAAGACCAAGGGATGGGCAGCTAGAAACTGCCCGATTCCATAAGCACAAGAGGCTCCCTTCTCCTGTCCCTTATATGCAGGAACTCTTTTAGAAATAAAACAGAGTGGGTGGTTGTCCCTTTTGATTGCTCCTGTTTCAAATTACCAATCCCAAACGGGATTGGAAGGGATTATCTCTCTTCCATGGCGCCTGTAAACATGCCAAGCTTCAAAGCAAGAGGTGCATTAGTCAATCAATTGGCTTCTGTTGAAAGACCATCCTGAGCATCCCCAATGGGCATTGTTCCTGGAAGCAGAGGCTCAGCTCCACTCCTGCCTCTTAGACAGCTAATTCCTGAAAGACTATATTGTGCCCTATGTTAATTACAGTTTGTTCTAAACAAACCCAATGCTTCTAGACCCCAGCCTGCACCCCACAGACCAAAGCTGGTCTTTTATCATGCAAGTGACAAAGGCCAAACTTAGGCTAGCCCAGCTCTGCACAGAGAACCGCAGCAGGCCAGGCTGAGCCTTGTGAGTGCCTGCATTTGGAAGATGATCCTAGGAGACTGTTGCCTCAAAGGTAGAGCTAGAATATTAAATGATTTGGGGCCTCTGAGGACCACATTAAACTTCCCCCATAATTCCAACAGAGAAGCAGCTGAGGAAGAGATTCAGTCATTATCTCACTCTGAGGATTTAATTCCATAAGGGTTTATTCCTTTATTCCTTTAGTAGAGCAATTAGTGCTCTTTAAAAAAAAAAAAAAAAAAGTCCTATGTTTCTTCAGAATGAATAGGGAAACTTGGTAGACTTGAGAAACAGACTAAATGGAACCATCAGCGGAAGGAAGTCTGCATTTAGCCCACAAACACTCTGCATTTGAGCTGCCTTGGACATCTGACTGTTTCACAGACTGCAAAAACTCTGCCTGCCCCTGGGACATTGATGGAGTGCACTTTGCAATTGGGATCATATGCTGAAGGAAAACTAATGATCAAATAAAATACATGTTACATGTAATCCCAGCACGTGTGCCAGTATCATGCAATTAAAATACTATTTAAAACTAGTAGGTCTGGTTTCATCCTCCTTTGTCAGGGTATTATTTGCCTTTATAGAAATCCCTATTCTCTGCTAGGAAATGCTGAGTTATTTATAGAACTTGTAAGAGAGTTGCTACAAATAGCTAAGAATATGAACTGAGTGGATCAGGAAAGGGGACAAATCTCTGTGTCTTCCCTTAACTGTGATTTGGCCAAATCATGAGACTATTTCCACAACCAGTTGGATACAGAAAAGTTTGCTAGGGAAAGGAGGAAACAAAAGGGTAGCTATCCCGAGAAGAACCACATGGTAGTTGCAGAACCCCAGAACAGATGGGAGTGCCTACAGGCTCCGTATCTGCTTGGGTTTCCTGCTGCAAATTCCCAATCTTGCTCCTTCTTCAGCCTAGGTCCATCCAGCAACAAGTAGAAAAGGGTATCTGCAGTTCCATACTCTATCTGCCACACCCCTGCAGCCCTCTTTCTGGCCAAGTCTCTCAGAGGATATAGCATCACGTAATGAGGCTTTATCTTAAAACTATAACTGCAGGGAATAACCAAGAGTCAGACAAAATTAACCTTGTCCCAAGCACAGAGTGTTCTGTTCTTACTCATAAACCTGATGGGAAACAGATGAGTATATAGAAAATAATCACATTTTGCACTTAGAAAAAGATGTTATCCAAGGACCCAGAGAATCCCTTGATGCTCTTCCTTGAACTTACTTCCTTGAACACCTAACTACACCCCACAAGGCAGTTGCAGGACTGTAGTGACTCCAGGTCACTCCATGCTGTCAGCCTCTTTACATCCTCCTACTGACACACGGAACTGGCCTCAGCCCTAGCCAGTCTAGTTTCTGCCACCTCCAGATGAAGTTAAGAGGTTATCCTGGAGAAGACTCAGCCCTAAAGGGAGAGGTAACCAGCAAAAACATCCATTCTATCAACCTCCCCCTTTGGGTCTACCTGCCCCGTTGGCCACATTCCAAGCTGCTTCCTGAAGAGACAGTCTTTCAGGACTCAATGAAGGGGATCATCTAACACAATGCATGAATGCGGTTCTGGACAGATTCAACCAATTCCTCAGTCAATTTGGTCCAGAAAGACCATGAAGACAGGCTCTTTGTCGGAGTCCCTATAACACCTGTTTTGCCCAGAGGCTGCAGAAAGAGAAGGTTGCAAACAGGAATGGGAAACAAGAAAGGACCATTCCTACCCCAAGGGCAGCCCTTCTGTATACAGGTCTGATCTTAACAGAGCCACTTGAGGGTTACTCTCTGCTTCCCTTAGAGACTACAGCCTAAATCCTGAAGTTTGTGGACAGGAAGCTCCTCTTAACATCTTAACTGCACTTCTTTCCTCCGTGTCAACGTCCCAGATTTTCATTTTTTACTGTGGTCCCCTTCAATCCCAAACCATGGCTCTCCCGGATCCTGCCTCTGTTCCAGTCAATGTCCTAAAGCAAAGCGGCTGCAGAGCCAGAGGCAGCTCTGCTTGAAGAAAGAGAACCGTGCCGAGTAAGCAGAAAGTTTATCGAGAAAACTTGCTCCGTGAAACTTCAAACGCGAAAGCACGGCACCGATCTGACGTCTGAGCTCACTGGGAAGGTATCAAAAGAGACCTCCTCCTCCTCCTCTCTTCACCAACACAACTCCCGAAACTTGCTCCCCCTCTTAACCTACGGGAGAGCCGGGGTTCCCAGAGCCGCCCCTACCCTGTGCAGTCTCGAGCCCTCTGAGCTCCGCCAGCCGCACTCCTCCAAAGCCCTCTCCTATGCTCCCCAGGCCCCGCCTCGCCTCCCCCAGCCCACTTCAGCCGCCCCCCGCCCCCGGCTTCCCCTCGCCCACTAATGACCCCCTACAGGCGCCCCCTCCTTTCACCA